TGTTCAAGCATACATGGCATTTCTTGCATTACTCCTCCTTTAAAATATGATTGTCCCGACTAATTAAATTGCGTATCCCTTAAATGATTCTCCCTTATGTTGTAACTTTTTTTGCTATAGATGGCCGCGACGAAACTTGCTTTCGCAAGTCCATTTTGGAGGCAGGCGCCTCGTCACCGTTTAGCTCCTCATGAGCCCGTGGCCCCGAGCCTCTTGAGGCGGAAAGGCTAAGGACGAGCTAGCTCGGGTGATCTTTGAGAGGAATGCTTGCTCAAGACCGCTTGGAGCAAGTAACAGGGAAAGGGACCAAGAGACCCTTGAGGTTCAGAGGTTGATAGTTGCTCACCGCAATGGCTGTGAACGCATGTTGATTCACGTGATGAACCAAAGGAATGAAGCACAGCACGAAGAGAATGTGTTGAGAGCACGACGGTGGAGCTAGAGCGACAAGTGGCGAGATCTTTGAAGAGTACAATGACCATCTCCATGAGGAGGTTCACTGTTACACAATCAACTTCACCTCTCCACCTTTTTTGATGATGAGGATGAGATGGGCTCTGGTGTCATCATGGTGAAGGTGATGATGACATGGAGGTCAATGGACTGAGGACATTCCACGATGAGGAGGAAGATGAGGAGTTAGAGCCTGCTAGTGATGAAGATGGAGGAGAGATCTTGACATCGACTCGAGGACGATGCGTAGTTTAGCTTACTACTTAGCTAATGCGCAAGAGCTAGTCTTTGTTGATCCTCATGCATGAACGAGTAGCTTTGTAATAAGTTAATTGTTGGGATGTAATATCGAACCATAAGTTATCTTTGGATGTAAGTTTGGAACCACTATGGCTTGGATGTAACCTATCAAACGTATTATGCTCCACGTATGTGAGCTTTTGATGAATTTCATCTTTATGGTCTATAGATCTCGCTGTTGGTTAAGTTCATCGCATTTATGTGTCAATCGATGCGCTTGATGAGTTGTGTGGTTGTGATGAATGATTGTGCCTCTGTTGATTATATAAATGCATTCCCTCCAATGGACTCAGTTTGGCATAATTATACGATTCATCTACAAAAATTTCCACATCATCAGTGCTCATTGGATATACATTTTACAGATGGCTCATAACCTTCGTCGCGGTCGTGGCATGGGAAATGAGGAACAACCACCTCCGCCACCGCCCACCCCAGCTGAGCTAATGCAAACAGTTGTGGAAAGTCAGCGCATGCTAGCTGAGGCTATGCGCCAGATGGCTAACCGTGAGGATCGGCATGTCCGCCAGGGATCCGAGCCGAACCAGTACAACAGCTTTAAGGACTTCATGGACACAAAGTGTAACAACCCGGGTTTTTGTGAAGCCAAAAATACGGACTTTTAAAATTTTTCCTGCAATATGTGAAGCATGTAGATGCTAGGTCGAACTAAGAACAATTTATAAATAAATTGTTGCATACATATAGAATTACTTGTAGGAGTTTGCCGAAGTTCTTTAGTTGGTTTAGTGTTTTGTGTTGGAGTGCACAAATCCGTAGCAACCCCTCTTAATTTCCTTTTGGAACATCTCATAAATCCCCGTCACATTTCTTTGAACTCATTTGATCCTAAATCAGTAAAATCACACCTCTCTGATTATTTTGAACTCCCCTTGGAATTCACTTCTCTTTATATTCCACCTGATCTCTCTTTAAAATTCATTTCAAATTCCTTGAATCAATAAAAGGAAAATCATTTTCCTTTTATTCCTCCAAAGCCCACCGTCCCTTTCCCTTTATTGGCTGGCGCCAAAGAAGTCAGCCATTACCTTGCCCTTGACCCGCTTGCCACGCCTCCTTTCGGCCCAACTTCGCGCTTGCGCTCTCCATGATCCGCGTAATAAAGCGCACAAATGCCAGCTTCCTTCCCTGTCGTCCAGCGTCTGTTAAAGACGCGACGCTGAAGCTGCATGGCCTGTTCCTTCACCCGTGGGTCCCGCATGTCACCAGAGAAGAAAAGAAAAGACGAGATGTTTGCTTCCCGTCGACCCGCCGTCTCCCTTCCGTCGTCCTCTTCGCATGGTACCCGGCCCGCCTCTCCACACCGCTTCCTCCGTTAGCCGACCAGACGACAGCGCCGCTTTCGGACCCCGCGTAACAACTTTCGCCCTCGGATTCCTCTACGTGCATGTCGCCCGAGCCGCGACTTCGCCTTGCGACTGCGTCGTGACACCACCCGCCCCGCGCGCATCACGCCTGGCGCCCAGCGTCGCGACCACACCACACCGCGACCCGCTCCTCTTCTCGAACCTTCCCGAGCGCGCACCTACCCCATGCCGTGGATGGACACCACGCGTCCATTGCCGCACCCGATGATCGCAGCCGCCGTAGCTCCTCGCTCTCCACGAAACCCTAGCCCGGCCGCTATAAAAGTCACGAAGCGCCACCGCTCCTTCTCCATTCCCCATCCTCGCGTCGTCTTCTTCTTCCACTGCCCCACCTCTGAGCCCCACAGCACCGCGCCGTCAGAGCCTTCGAGCAGCCACGCCGTGCCCTCGCACCCACACCATCATCGTCGTGCCCACGCACGGGAACGCCGTCATGAGCTCGGCGCCGAGAGCCGCCGCCTCGGAAGCAAGCGGCGCTGCTGCTGATTGTGGACAGCGCCACCATCAAGCCGGCGTCGCGTCACCGTCGTCTGGCCGTGACGGCGCGCCATGAGCCCCGCCGCCACCAAGCCATCGCGGTCATCGGAGACGAAGTGGAAGCACGCCTTCTTCAACGCTGCAGTCTAGCACGGCACTGCGTCAACTCAACACGGCACCGAATCATCACCGCACCACTAGCCTAACCTCACCAGCACCTCTGGTGAGCTTCCCCGGCCTTCTCCCATGTCCGCAGTAGGAGAGATGCGAGGCCAAGCCCTCAGTTCCACCACGTCCCACACACGCACGCACGCACGGACACAGCCCGAGCGACACCTTACCGAGCCCAACGCGCTCGGGAATGCCTCAGTCCTGCACATGCACTGGGTGTGTTCGCCGTGGCTGAAGTACGGCCATGGCAGAACCGTTCCACCCGCTCCTCGACGGTAGAGACACGGAGACCCTTTATGCCAGCCTCGCCTCTTCGATTGGACATATCCCGTGCTCGCCCCTTTGGTCGATGAGCCTCGGAGGCCGTCGTCTGCGTCCGCCTCGCCGGACCATTGCGCCCACATGCCGCCGTCGTGGCACGGCTGTTCCTACCATCTCCGGCCACCTCGCTCGTCGGGGTTGCGCCGTCGAGCATCACCGCGAGCCCTCGAACACCGGCGCCACCGCCCTGTGCCCGCCACACTCGCCATGGCCAAACCCCGCCATGGCGCTGCTCCGTTCTGGCCCTACCACGAAGACCTAGGCATTAGGATCGGCCTCTATGTCCTCGCCCTGATGTGGGACACACCCCGCTCTAGCCCCTGGCCAAAGAGAAGCCCAAGAACCCCGACTACCCTCCACCTCGCTGGCGCTGACGCGCTCTAGGGCGCCGCCATGCCGTGCACGTTCCGCTTGTCTCCGGCCGCCTCGCTCGACATGGTCACGCCGATGGACTCCAGCTTGGCCAACCGCACTTAGCCACCTAGCTGGTTGAGTCCTTAGCCTGCCCAAACCCCTTTGTCGCCGTCGACCAGACTGCACCGGAGCTCCGCCGCGTCTCTCGCGCCGCAGTGGACTCCTCAGTGGAACTTGGTCACCGAAGCCGCCACCTATAGGCCCGCCTTTAAACCCCATAGCATGCTCCATATGGCCCTGCGACGTGCACCACCCAGCCACAAGACCCCACCGGAACCAATCCTGCACGCCCTGCCGCCGGCGAGATACCGGAGTAGAAACAGGGGATCCAGGTGCCCTTTCTCCCCCGTTCTACATGCACAGGGTGCACGATGCACCGCGCTCGGCTGCGCCCGCGTGGATGTGGTCCACAAAGAACCCTCCCAACGTTCCACTAGGCCACACCATGTCGTCCACCATGGACAGCCCCCAAATCGGCCCATATCCGGCCCTTGACCCGGCCCTCCGGTGCCCACTTGAGCGCGGTCAGTGTTGACCATTGACCGGTCAGCGTTGACCATTGACAGGACCCACATGTCAGTGACCAGTGCCGTGGGCCCACCTATCAGCCATAGTTTAGCCACAGCGACGCCATCATGCGACGTCATGCCGAGGATGAGACGCGCCCGGTGTCGAGGACTTCAGCGATCGCCGACCACCTCGGCAACCCTTCCGACCACTTCGGCAATCTCTCCGACCACCTCGGCCAGCCTTCCAACCACCTCGGCCAGCCTTCTGACCACGACGGTGATCTTTCTGACCACTTCAGCGATCTCTCCGACCACCACTGCAACCTTTCCGACCACCTCGACAACCCTTCCGACCACTTCGGCAATCTCTCCGACCACCTCGGCCAGCCTTCCAACCACCTCGGCCGACCTTCCGACCACGATGGTGATCTTTCCGACCACTTCACGATCTCTCCGACCACCCTGCGCAACCTTCCGACCACCTCGCAACCTCTCCGACCACCTCGCCGTTTGTGTCCCCCTGGCCCGGTGACCACCCTCTCGGCCAATCTTTGCCATGCCCGGCCAGCAACAACAGCCCTTGGGCCTCTTTGCCGCGAAGTCAAATCCTAGTCGAACGCCATTCTCGCCATCGACGAAAGCCCCTTCCTGCTTATCCTTATACTCGTTCGTACACTTACGATACGTGATTTTGATCTATTTATATTTGTCTGCACCGTGCCCTTGTGCAGGTCTATCCATCCCCCTCGCTATGGGATGTGCTACTCCATAGTCGTGTCAAGTTGTTGCGTCTTTCGGTCGTGTTTGGTTCTTATCGCTGCTTGTTGGTGTTTGCATCTTTATATCACCAACTCGCTGGATTTCGATCTTGTGATGGCTGAGAAGTTATTAATTTGGACTCCTAGTTTCAGCATGGCTAGTGTTGGTGGTGCCAGCTGATGGTCTCTTGATCATTTTCGACAACAAGATGACCGACAATGCTCTTTCAGTGTGTTAGCACAAGGGAAGTTAATGTGTTAGCGTGAGGGAAGTTCCATGGTGTTGGGTCATGCGGCATTTTCAAGGTTTTGATGTTTGTCGTTGTGGATGATTGTAGGGGATGCTTCGACGAGGGGTCATTGGTTTCGTTGAGTTTCGAC